ATTACTGTGTGATAGAGAGCACGAATTCATACCCCCCAAACACATAATTAGCATCAACGAATGCACTGGTGTCACTGTATAGGCAAGCACTGACTGCATCCAAGGGTTATCTGACCCACAAGCTGATAATGAAGCCCAATCCGTCTTTCTTGTTTTACTGTTAGACATTGTGCAGCACTTAATTTCTGGTTCAATAGCAGTATCTACCAAGCAAGTTTTTGTTCCAGCAGCAGCGTCTACCAAGCAAGTTTCTATTCCAACAGCAGTGTCTACAACATATGTTGCTTCTTCATCAACTGTACGAGTACACGCACCTGTAAGACAGTTAGCAGCCATATTTTTGCTACTCTCCCCATGCTTAAAGAAGCTTCCAGTGCCAGATTGCTCATCATAGGCACATTGACTCCCCTCAGAAACTGTCAATCCACTTTTGGCAGCAATAGAAGAATCACAAAGCTGAGGTAGCAAAGGCCTCTGAGCAAACTGATTTTCAGCACTATCCACAAGTTTGAGGGGACATTTAGTATTACCTTCCTCAAGCTTGTCAATCACTAAACTCCGTCCTACTTTAACTCCATATCCTTTTCTCAGGAAGCCAACCTTCCTATCAATGAACACAGCATTCACAAAGGGATCTAGTAGACTCCACCTAAGTGCCAAGCTGTTACTAAGATCAGCATTATTCACTTCTTTCTCAATATCCAACAACGCACCTGATAGATCATTCCAAAAGTGATGAATATCAGTCCACTGCTTGCCATCAGCCTCCTGCACTAAAATGTATCTATTGGCATCCAGATGATTAATAAATGCCCTCCAAGCTTTAGGGAATTCACGATATAAATTACCCCCAGAAGACCTATAAACTTTTTCCACATATTTTCGACATGGCCTTTTACGTTTCTCAACTCTCCAGCCAGCTCCAGTAAGTAATTGAACAACATGCATGTAGAGCAGAGGACGGGGATCTTCCTTAGGATCTGTCTTTGGTAAAAGATTAGATATCTCTAGTCCTTCTGTATTGAACCCAATGGAGCAGTTCTCAAAATTTTGAGGAGAATAAGATTTCTCTGCCACATTGATAGATGGACTTGCAACCACCAACTTCGTTGCAGAGCTCTCCTGGGAAATGGGAGAAGCAATAGCTTCAACTGCAACTAGTTTCTTTTTATCATCTTCGTCTGTATTTTGCAATCTGCACTCCTTTACATCTAGGCTGTCCACAGCAACTTCTCTGTCCATATTTGCACGTTGCTTTAACAAATAGCAACTAGATGTTACCCCTTGATTGGCTGCTTCAACTAAATGAAGAGTAACTGTT